ACAGGAGCATGGTATTGAATGGGTATATCACATACCATATCGTGCACCTGCTGCAGGAAAAGTAGAAAGATGTAATGGACTGTTGAAGACGACTCTAAAGGCACTAGGTGGGGGAACTTACAAAAATTGAGACAAGAACTTAGCCAAGGCCACCTGGCTAGTCAACACCCAAGACTCAGTCAACCGAGCTGGTCCTGCCCAAGCAGAATCCCTCCACACTGTAGATGGAGACAAAGTTCCAGTGATCCATCTAAAGGGTATGTTAGGTAAGGCCGTTTGGATCACTCCTCCCTCGGGCCAAGATAAACCCATTCATGGGATTGTCTTTGCTCAAGGGCCTGGAAATACCTGGTGGGTTATGAAGAAGGATGGAGAGATCCAATGTGTGCCTCAAGGAAACCTAACCCAGGGGAAAAACTAATTCTGTGCCTTAAGTTGTATTTTACAAGAGACCAGACACCAGACGGAAAAAGACCCGAACAAACCCGATACGAGTATCCAAGGATGGCCGATGATGACACAGCCCAAACCAATGAGCCAGCCCTAAACCGGAACTGTGATTATGATGAAAGGGCCAAGAATCCAAACTGAGTTGCTGTTGGTGCTGATCTTCAATGACAGATGACAGCCTTCGAAAAGCAATAAACGTGGACTATATATGTATATATGTATATGCGCGGGATATAGACGAACACAATATTTAGGTGTTACGTAAAGAAATAGTATGGAATAAGGGGTGGAGAATGTGATGGTTTCAGTCTAGGCCTTCCTGGAGACCAGCTTGTAACCAGGAAGGAACTAGGAAGGTGAACACGGAAGTATTCCATGCTATTCCTTTACGTAACCTGGGGTATAAATAGGGCATAGATAAGAGAGTTCGCTTTCTTCCTTTCCGGCGAGGTTGAAGAACGGTGGTCCCTGTCTTGATCTGGCTTATCTGGAGCTGAGGCCTACAGTGACTGCTGTTATCGGCCACGTGTGAGGGGAGAGTGCTGGGCCGCGTCCAGACGTCCTGCTTTTTCTCAAGGGAAGTGGTGAACTCTTGCCAATTCTTCAGTTTGCTGGTTACCGGGTTTTTTAGATTGTGCAGACCTGTTTTGTTTTTGTCCCTTTTTCGTCGTATTTTATCCTGTTTCCCTTCTCCCTTCCCCTCTTCCCTTTGGGAAGCTATTTGGGGTTTCTGGGGTTATAGATATAGAGATATATATATATATATATAATACTCTCACAGTATATATCTATTTTTTATGTAAAATATATATTTTTGCTAGAACTTTGTCTACTTGGTTTTTTTTCTTCCCTCTCTGGGAAGCAGTCCCTGTTGTCAAGTTTCGGAGACTTGGCAGGAAGCCAGCTCTTTACACTATGAACAGAAGGTTTTAAATCTCCTTTTTCATCTTGAGTCCAGCAAGTGATTGGTAATCACCATGCAATCTATGCTAAAACAAGCTGTGGGTAAATTTATTTAATTCAAATTTAGTTCCCTGGTAAATTGCTTATATTGCTTCAGTTTTTATAATATGTGTAGCAATTTTGTTTACTGACTGATAAAAGGTTTATCTTGCATTCTTGAGCATGACTGGAAAAATATGAAATTGCTAAACTTAATAAGGGTTTTGTATCAGTCAGTTTTATATTTAATAAATATGAATTAATGAATATATTGGGCTTTAAAATGGTGAGATGTTGTTTTATTACATGTGTAAATGTTATTAAACTATTTTTTACCCTTTATTTCTATTGTTAAGAAAACAATTTACAGTACTTTTAAGAAAACTGATTTGAAAACAAAAAAACTTGCAAATGTTACAAGTCAAATTTATATCTTCCTGAAAACGTAAAATGCAGTGGTATGAATGAATAGTTAATAAAGTTTTAGTTCGCTATGTTTTGCTTTCTTTTTCCCATATTATGCAAGAAGGGAGATTCTGAGTGAGAGATGAGAGGGGCTTGTTTGTCGTTTTTCTCACCAAGAGGCAAGTCACTTGTTTGTTTAGCTAAAAGAGTTAGCAGGAAAGTTTTTATAGGAACAGGAATAGTGGTAGAAAATGACAAAATCTAATTCCACCCAGTTGTTAAGCAGTAAACTATTGCTATTATGTTTGAGGGGCAACATTATTTCTTTCTTTGCAAAGGCAATTATGCAAGGAGTGTTTTTTACCCTTTTCTTTAACCAAAAAGTTGTAAAATCTCGGTTTTCAAAAACTTCATTCTTTTCCAACTCTGAGACGGGCAAAAAGTATGAAAATCCGTCTTTCTCTAGGTTTGAGAGATTGATAGATTAGTGAAAGGGTTTCTGTACATAGCAAGGCTGTGTTTATATGTTTTTTTAGTAGTGTATGTAAATGCATTACCTCTGTTTTAAGGAAAGGCCATTGTTTTATTAATTTAGGGTTACCTGTTTCCTGGGTCACTTGTGGGTTTAGCTGCAATAAAGCTGCCTTTGGGAAAAATCCGCTGTTAATTGACTTCCTCTTTGACTGAGGCAGTCTCTGTTCTACAGAATGAGTGATTTCATTGGGTCCAATGGAAACAGAGTTAATGTCTGGGCTATTGCTGGTTATGTCTCTGTTTTGCTTTGGGGATGCTAGTTTAAGAAAACTTGTTAAACAGGTTTGGATGTTTTTTAAGGGCCATTGTGAGGTTACATCTTTTCTGCTGTTAAAAATGTTTGATATTCCTGTCTTTGCCTCCCATTCTAATTGTTTAATTTGGGTATAGGCCAATTTAGGCATGTTTGTGTTTTGAATGGATTTGGAGGTGTGTATTGTTCTATGTTGCAGCCTTGTGGGGCGTCTTTGGGCTTGTGTTGTATGAGGGATTTGTTTGTTTTGCTTTATCAAGGCTCTTTGCAGTGACTGTGTGTAAAGGGTTATGTGTTTCTGCAGTTGAAATTGTAATTGGTTGTTTGTTTGCTACTTGTTTAGGTTTGGCTTTCCATGTTGTGTATGGCATATTGTCTAACAGCATTTTAAAATAGTGAGAAGTAAATACTCGATTTAGGGCCCCTCCTAGTCTTTCTGTTCTTCCCCCCTGTAACACAAAAGAACCTTTTATAATAGCAGATAATCTGTCAATTAGTAAAGTTGTCCTTTTGTGACTTAGAAAGTTAAATATGGTAGCTGATAGTTGTATGTCTACTGTGTTTTGCAATGTTACCTTTAGATTGTTGGTCGTGTCAGTAGGTGGATTGTGTTGTTCCAGCTGAAATTCTCGCAGCATAAAACTAACAGCTGCTATCATTAGTAACGTAGCCGATATATATATTGTCCATTTTAACATCAGTAGCTTTGACTTCACTGATGGTCTCGACTTGGGCAGGCATATGTTTTGTGCACTCTCCCAGTCTGTGTTCTCCTCTTCGAGCTGAAGTAGTAGCTGTAACCATGTCTGCTGTTCTTCCTCCTCTGCAGGATCCAAAACTGCTTGTCTTTTTTCTGGTTCTCTCGTCTCACTGAGTTAGGTTTGCCACAGCTCGGCTAAGATTTCTAGGTAGTCAATTTCTCTTCTTCCTCCTCCTTCGGCGTAGAAGCTGTTCTGAGGCTGGCGAGGGCTGTGGGTTGGTTTCTTGGTAGGAGTGCCACAGTGGTGCTTTAACGGTTGTGCATTTGTTGTGTGTTGGTTGAACTGGTGGTGACGGAAGAGGCACTTTCACTTCCGCCTCACGGCAGGAGTAAGCTGGTTGTGTCCATGTTGCTGCGTGGTCGTTCTGCAGCAGTCTCATGGCCGCTGCACAACTAAAGGGAGTTAGTGGACCCCCCTGACCCCCGTAATAGCAGTCTGTCTGTTGCCCCCCCATCAAGGCCCCCGCAGCCGCCGCTGCTGCTGGCGCCCTAGCCCGCCTGGCTGGGTCTCCACACTCGCTCCGCGGTGGTCTTATGGCCGCAGGCGGGCAGTACGGCCATGGGTGGCTCCGCCATGGATCTGGCCGTCGGCAGCGGGGCCGCCATTCCGGCAGCCCCATGCCGAGAGGCACGGGGTTCCACGGCAGCCCCGGTCGGCAACGGAGCCCCCGCTGTAGGGAGGCCACGCGGCCGCGCGCGTGGGGAGGGCACTGCCTGCGGCGAGCGCCATGCCCGACCCCGAACACACGCCAATGGCGGCGGCTGGGGGGAGGGGGCAGAAAGGAGCATATGGTTCCAGGGTGAACCCAGCGCTTTCAGACTATCCGCCGCCGCCACACTGACCCCATTCCGGGCTTCTCCTCCCCCCCATCTCTCCCCGCCAACGTGCACACTTTCTACTCTATTGTTTTCGTACTGTGATAAACTGAATGATTCGAGTTAATTAAAAAGAAAACAGTGTAAGGTCAATATAACCTGGAGAGAGAAAAGAAAAACAAATCGTAAAACTTAATTGGGCCCCTATAAAGACATAAACCGAGTTACCTCCCTTGTACCTTGTGTAAGATTTATAGTGAAGGAATTTCGTTTAGTTAGCTAGATAATAACACCTTTCTTAAAAATTTATAACTTTGTATAGATAACAAGCAATCATCTGCTGAATGTCTGACTTGACAATATATTATGGATGCTTATAGATAACACTCTTGGTTAAGAAAAACATCTGTTGAATGTCTGACTTAACAATGTGTAATGTTTATGCTTATGTATAATGAATATTCATGAAGTAGCTGGAAATAAATGTAGAACAACTGTCTTCTTTGGGTATGACAGGCGTTGGAAGTTGTTAAAACCCCTCCCTGATCACCCCAGCGCTGAATTTGCTTTTATCATATAATAAATTCTAATTGGAAATCACCCGGCTCTGGGTTTCTATTTCTCACAAACTTGGCGACCCTGACGTGATACCCTTTGTTTTTTGAGAGATATTTAGTGCCTGGGATAGGAGCGCACCCGCTGTTTTTCAGCGACCTATTCACAGGCCTAATATTTCAACAAGGACACATGCATATGATAAAAGCAAGGAATTAAAAAGCTCCTGGAGTGCTGCAGCAAAAGACCCATAATTCCTGTGCACGAAGACCCGAGTGAGAACAACGGACTGTGAGTATAACTTCGGGGGGGCGGATAAAGAGGTCGGAGTGAATGAGTGTATGAGACGCAGCAACGCTGCGACATGAGAGTGGAGTCCTTCTAACCTCGTTTCTGTCTTCCCGCAAGGGAAACAGCAGGTGAAGGGACGAAGCGATTGAATTCATGAGTGGACCTCTGGGGTCGGTGGGAGTTTTTCAGAAGGGACCACTGAGTCGGTGAAAAATCCTAGAAGGGATCCCAGAGGGTCAGTAGGAAGGTAGGAAGACTTTAGAAGGGACCTCAGGACTATGGGGCAGGGAATTAGTAAATTAAGTTGCCTCAGGAAGGAAAGGAGCAGGCAGGAATTGCCAGATATACCCTTAGACAGTCCTCTAGGGGTGATGATCCTTAACTGGGAAAAGAGAGAGAGTACTAAAAATAAGGAAAAATCAAAAATGATTCAGTTCTGCATGATTGAGTGGACTAAAGAAAAAATAAGGAGTGATGATATCTCTTGGCCTGTGTATGGATCATTTGAGGGTTGGATATGCCAAACCCTCAACAGTTATGCAAACAGCAAGGAGCCGATAAACTCTGAAGAAAGTGAATATGCTGCTTGCTGGAAAGAGGAGGTTTGGCCAGAACCTACTAAAGTTTATAAGTTAACGAAAGAAAAACAAGCCAAAAAGAAATTAACAGAAACCAAATGGGAGCCATTAGACAATTTACCTCCACCCTATAATCCATCCCCTCCTCAACCCCTTTTACAACCCCCTCCACAGTCCCTTTCTTCCCAACCCCTTTTACAACCCCCTCCACAGCCCCTTCCATCACCTTCGTTACAGCCCCCCTCGGCTGCTGTTCCCACAGCGCCTATGAGTTATTCTTCCCCTGTACAAACTCCTTTAACTACAGACTTCACTACCCTGCAAAATCATAAGAGTGAGAGCCCTGAAAAATGTAAGACTTGGAAGAAGAGACGAACCACCCCAAGGGAAGTTAGAGCCCTTTTAGTAGAACAAGATAGCTCTAGTGAGGAAAATGAAGGGGTGCACTCGACACGAGAATTATACCCACTTAGAGAAGTGCCCTTGGGGGGAGCACAAGGGGGAATTGGGTTTGTAAATGCTCCCCTAAGTTCAAGTGAAGTTCGGGCACTTAAGAAAGAGATGGGGAGGTTATTAGAAGACCCCTTAGGGGTAGCTGAACAACTAGATCAATTCTTAGGACCAAATACATTTACTTGGGGAGAAATGCAATCCATTCTGGGAATACTATTCAACCCAGAAGAGAGACAGATGATACGGATGGCAGGGATAAGGATATGGGACAGGGAGAACCAATTGAGCCCCCCCGGGGACAATAAAATGCCCACTAATCCTCCCAATTTGGACTCTAATTCTGCCACAGACTGACAACACATGGCAGATTATCATACCTTAATAATAAGAGGAATTAAAGAAGCTGTGCCTCGTGGGCAGAATGTCACAAAGGCATTTAAAAGCCAACAGAAAAAGATGAAACCCCGAGTGCATGGCTAGAGAGATTAAGAAAAGACTTACAGCAATACTCAGGAATCAACCCAGAAACTACAACTGGACAAGTGGTACTAAAGGTCCACTTTGTAAGTAATTCCTGGAACGATATCCGAAAAAAATTAGAAAAATTAGATGATTGGCAGCACCGGGGGCTTGAAGATTTACTAAGAGAAGCACAAAAGGTTTATGTGCGAAGAGATGATGAGAAAGCAAAAACAAAGGCAAAAGTGTTAGTAGCTGCCATCCAAGAATCACATAAAGGTGTAAAATCAGATGAGAGGAAGAGTTTCAAGGGAGAAAGGAAAAAGGGGAGTCTGAATACAGACAAACCCCAACGAACTGTCCCAAGGGGCCAAGAGTTTGCATGTTATTATTGTGGGGAAAAAGGTCATCTAAAGAGAAACTGCCCCAAGAGACAAAAGGACGTGAAACTGTTTGAAGAAGCCGAGAGGGATTAGGGAAGTCAGGGACTTTATTTCCTGGGAGAAAAACATCATAAGAAGCCCTTGATAAAGCTGAGATTAGGCCCCCAGGACGAAGAATATGAATTTCTTGTAGATACGGATGCGGATAAATCATGTGTAATCAAAATTCCTCAGGGTTGTAGAGCCAGTAAAGACACAATTAGAGTAATTGGGGCAAAGGGAGAGGGATTCCCAGTGCCTATAATAAAACAAGTTCAAATTGAGGGAGAAACCAAAATTACAGTGGGAGATTTGCTTTTAGTACCTGAAGCAGGTTGTAATCTTTTAGGGAGAGACCTACAGGTTTCCCTGGGAATAGGAGTTGTGCCAGAAGAAGGAGAAATGAGAGTTAAAATAATGATTCTAAAAGAGGAAGATGAGGAAAAGATTAACCCCAGCGTGTGGGCCTCAGAAGACCAAGTGGGAAAATTAAAGATAGACCCCATAAAAATAGAAATCATTGATCCCAACCACCCAATACAAATATAACAATATCCTATTTCTCAAGAAGGAAGAGCAAAACTTCATTATAGACAAATTATTGGCAAATGGAACTTTAGAAGTCTGTATGTCCCCTCATAACACCCCTATACTTCCAGTCAAAAAGGGGGATAGTACCTTTAGGCTAGTCCAAGACTTAAGGGAAGTAAATAAAAGAACAATTGCCCAATTCCCTGTAGTTCCAAATCCATACACCCTTTTGAGTCATATTCCGCCTAACTACATATGGTATAGTGTGATCGACTTAAAAGATGCCTTCTGGGCCTGCCCACTAGATGAAGAAAGCAGAAATATCTTCACCTTCGAATGGGAAGATCCGCAAACACGGAGGAAACAACAATTAAGATGGACAGTTCTTCCTCAGGGGTTCACAGAATCTCCAAACCTGTTTGGACAGGCCCTAGAAAAACTACTATTAGAATTCCCTAAACCTCCGGGAATAGAGATTATACAATATGTAGATGATTTATTAATCGCTGGGGAAAGTGAAGAGGGAGTCAGAGAAATCACAATAAAACTCTTAAACTTCCTGGGAGAAAAAGGATTAAAAGTTTCCAAAAAGAAGTTACAATTTGTAGAACAAAAGGTAAAGTATTTAGGTCACTGGCTAGATAAGGGAACTAAACGGCTAGATGCTGAAAGAGTAAGAGGAATATTAGCCCTAACTCCCCCAAAAACTAAAAGGGATATAAGGTTACTGGGATTATTAGGATACTGCAGGTTGTGGATTGAGGGTTATAGTGGATTAGTAAAGTTTTTATATGAAAAACTTACCCAAGAAGTGGTGAAGTGGAATGACAAAGATAGTGAAAAGGCAGAAGAAATTAAAAGAGCTCTAACCAGAACTCCAGTTCTAACACTCCCTGAACTGAAGCAACCCTTTCAGTTGTTTGTAAATGTAGAACAAGGAATTGCTTATGGAATGTTAACACAAGAAAAAGGGGGACACCGAAAACCAGTAGCGTATCTGTCAAAATTACTAGACCCAGTCAGCAGAAATTGACCTGTATGTTTGCAAGCTGTCGCAGCCACTGCTATATTAGTAGAAGAAAGCCATAAAATCACCTTTGGAGGAAAAATTACAGTTTACACCCCCCACGCTGTACGAGCACTACTGAATCAAAAAGTGGAAAAATGGCCAACAGATGCCCGCATTTTAAAATATGAAGCTATATTAATCCATAGTCCAGAATTAGAACTCCTAGTAACTAACAATCAAAACCCTGCACAATTTTTATATGGGGAGCCAAGTGAACTGACTCAAATATTAGAGCATGACTGTTCAGAACTAATACAATTACAAACCAAAGTCAGAGAAGATTTAGAAGAAGTGGAATTAGAAAAAGGAGAAACATATTTCGTTGATGGGTCCTCCCAATACAAAGATGGGAAGAGAATTTCTGGATATGCACTAATCGATGGGAATAACATGACAATTGCAGAATCAGGAAAGCTTAGTTCAGCCTGGTCAGCACAAGCATGTGAGTTATATGCCCTTTACTGGGCTCTTGAATTATTAAAAGAAAAAAAGGGGAACTGTTTTCACTGATTCAAAATATGTCTATGGAGTCATACACACATTTGGGAAAATTTGGAAAGAAAGTGGGTTAATAAGTACGAGAGGTAAATCACTAATACATGAAGAGTTGATAAATCAAGTATTAGAAGCTTTAAGAAAACCCCTAGAGATAGCAGTAGTCCATGTAATAATAATAATGGCCAGTCTTCGCGAACGAAGATTTTGGGAAAGGTCTTTTACCTTTCCAGCCTGCGCAATGGATTTTTTAGGTGAGACACAGCATGCGCTGAACTGAGCCCACCCTTTAATCCTAAGGTTCATCTGCCAGGGCCAAGCAAGCTTGGACAATGGCAGTGAGGTCCTCAGGACGTAGGTTTGTTTAGAGTGACCTTCTCATAGATGGATGGCCTCACAGGGCTAACGAGCTCCATCTGCCCGGGGGACCGGGGAATCGAACTTGGGTCGCAGCGGTGAGAGTACTGCATCCTAACCACTAGGCCACCAGGGGTCCCAAGTAGTCCATGTAAAAGGACACCAAAAGGGAATATCATTCATAATCTGAGGAAATAACTTAGCAGATGAAGCGGCCAAAGACGCAGCTGAAAAGGGGGAAATAACTAAGTTACATATATTAAACTTACAACAGCCTGAAAACTTAGAAATACCAGTATTTTCAGAGAGGGAAGAGAAAGAACTAACACAAATAGGTGCAAAGAAGCAAGAAGGGGGGGCATGGATCTTAGCAGATTGGAGAAAAATAGTTTCTAAACTGATAGCACGAGCAATATTAATGAAATTACATCAAACTACTCACTGGGGAACACGAGCTCTATGTGATCAGTTTTTACAATGTTATGGGTGCATAGCAATTTTTGAAATCGCTAAGCAAGTTACCAGCCACTGCTTGACATGTCAAAAAGTAAACAAAAAGGTTATGAGAAATACTCCTGTAGGGGGACGGAATATTGCATACTGACCCTTCGAGCGAATCCAGGTGGATTTCACAGAACTCCCACCTGTGAATAGATGGAAATATCTATTAGTAATAACTGACCATCTGACCCACTGGGTAGAAGCAATACCTACTGGAAGGGCTACAACAAATTTTGTAATCAAAGTATTACTTGAAAATATAATTCCCAGATATGGAATGGTATATAGTATAGATTCAGACAGAGGAACTCATTTCACTGCAAAAATACTTAAAGAAATAACAATTGCGTTAGGAATCACATGGAAACACCATACCCCCTGGCACCCCCAAAGTTCAGGGAGGGTTGAGCGAATGAACCAGACTCTGAAACAAGCCCTAACTAAATTGATGATTGAAACCCAGATGTCATGGGTTAAATGTTTACCCCTGGTCTTACTACATATCCGAACCCAGCCCAGGGCAGACCTCGGTCTATCACCATATGAAATGCTTTATGGAATGCCTTATATCTGGCTAAAAGATGCAGTAGGTGACTATAACAATATTGACACCAAATTAAGACCATATATACAGACACTTAGAAAAAGGTTAAATAAGAGAACAAGGAGCCTTAGCCCAAACAGCACCATTAGATTTCAAAATACATAAAATAAACCCTGGGGATTGGGCCTTAATAAAGAGATGGAAAGAAACTTCTTTAACCCCATTTTGGGAAGGTCCCTTCCAGGTACTGCTCACAACAGAGACCGCAGTCCATACAGCAGAACTAGGGTGGACACACGTGACCAGAGTGAAAGGACCTGTTGCTCCACCACCCCTGAAGGAGTGGACTGTGTCGTCAACGCTTGGGGACCTACGACTCAAACTCCAGAAAAGGCCTTTATGAATTCATCACCTGAATGGAGAAGACATATCGAGGACTGGAATGAGTTATCCCCAGAACAAAGAGACTGAAGAGCCCAACAGGTATTTCCTGAAAGTTTCAGTGTAAAACCTAGCCTGAGATCCTGGTTTCAATTATCCCCAGGACAAATTCTTAAGAGAAGGTGGTTTGTTTCATGGAAAGAGGGAGCCATCCCCTAGCAGAGTGGAGGGGCAGGTGTATATGTTACTGATCGCCTAATTAACCCAATCCTTGTGTTAGCTTGTGACCTTGAGAAAGAAGATGCCCTAATTCCTGAACCGCCACCACCAGAACGCATACGCTGTATAAAACATCCGGGATCTCAACACGATGGTTGGGTAGAGTGTCAGTGTAGGCACTGTCACCGTATATGGTCCTGTGTGGCCTTTAAGCGACATATACATTGCCCTGAGTGTCGTGACACGCAAGGAGATCAACACCAATTAGAGTCAGTACAGATAAATAAGCTGTTCTGTGGGTGGGAACTGTTATTACCAGTAAATTGGGAGATATTTGAAATGGACTGCTATACAGCATTAGGACACTGTGCAAAGAAATTTTCTTGGGAAGTGGCCCAAATTGACTGTCCACTAGATGACTAATTTTATAGACCCCATGTAAAGAATGTCACAGTGGCTAACAATTTATATATATATATATTGAATAATTAGTGGGAGGCACGCCGTGAGGCACCCCGCGCGGTTCGGGGGCTTCTGCGCGCACTGCGCAGGGTGCCGCGCCGGCCGGGGGGCCTCGCGCTGGCCAGAAACTCCCGCGCCGTGCGCACTGGACTCCGCACCTGGCCGGAAGCCCTACGCACGCTGTGCGGGACCCCGCGCGGTTCGGGGGCTTCAGCGCGCTCTGCGCAGGGCGCCGCGCTGGCCGGGGGGCCTTGTGCTGGCCGGAAACTCCCGCGCTGCGCGCGCTCCAGGCACGCGGTTTTGGACCCCAGGCGCAGCCGCGGCAGGAGAAAGGAGAGAGAGGGGGAGCCTTGCCGGCGGGTACTGCGCCCCCGTGGAAGATGAGAGGGCAGCTTCGGAGCACACAGAGGTTTGCCCTTCCAGGTTTGGGGGGGGAGGGAGAGCGGGAGGGGGAGGGAGCAGAGGGAAGGGTGTCGAGTGGGCCGTGGGGGTCCTCCGACTGGCAGGTGGGAGAGCGGGGCTGTCCGGTATGAAACATCACATCACAGGTGAGCAGTGCGCCTCGAATTTGTGGTAACACAGTGGGGGAAGGATAAGGTCTGGGTGGATAGCGGGTTCTTTTAGATTGATGGGGGTCCCGGCCAGGTTGGGGTCTTGTAAGGTACCCCAGCCTTGGATAGGGACGGGGGCCAGAACGGTTGGTGGGTTTGTTTGTTTGTTTGTCTATTTATTTATTTATTTTTGGCTCACCTGCGGCTACTGCCCAGGTTCGGCACGTTCTGGATATATTAGCTTTGCTCTGTTACACCCTGAAAGAGTAGGCAGGACAAAGGGTTGTTACTGGAAATGAAAGACTTGCCCAAATCGTTCTAACAGGAATGTAGCTTATGTACCCCTATGTGGTTGCGAGCTATGCTGGCGATGGTACATGCCTTCGGTAGGGTCGCCCATGACAGACAGGTCAAAACCATAGGACCAGATAAACTACATTCTTGGGCAGGATGAGCTCATTAGCCTTCTGGCAGTCATCCTAGGAGAAGGACAACTCTCATCCCAAACCCGGGCAGATGGAGCTCGCTTAGCCCTGTAAGGCCATCCATCTCAGAGAAGGTCACTCTAATCAAACCTATGTCCTGAGGACCTCGCTGCCACCGTCCAAGCTTGCTCGGCCCTGGAAGATGAACCTTAGGATTAAAGGGTGGGTTCAGTTCCGCGCATACTGCATCTCACCTAAAAAATCCATTGCGCAGGCTTGAAGGCTTTACCCACATGCAAAAAGTCCTGTAGCAACGGGTGAGGGTCGAAACGGCAGGTGAAAGGTGCACTGGGAGCCGCAGACTCAACCCTGCATGCAGGCGGTTCAGGATATTGGTCATTTGAGACTGACCGGAGATGACAGTCTCTTGGGGCAGCACCCTGAACGACCAAGCAGCCTTTTCAAGGACAGCACTGCTTGCTCCACTCGGAGAGGGGCCTAGAAAAGGTGGCCTAAACAAAGCTCATCTCCACCTTCACCCGGTTGGTTAACCGCAGACCAACGGGCATCTTCTTCCAATGCGGTCGCACAAAGAGCAAAAGACAAAGGCATGCACCTGCCTCCAAAGGTGTACCTAAATTAACTCTAGCATGTTGGAACATCAGAACCATGCTCGATTCTGCGGATAGTGGTCGTCCTGAGCAACGCTCTGCCCTAATTGCCCATGAACTGGCCCGTCTCAACATAGACATTGCTGCTCTCAGTGAAGTTCGCCTTCATGAGGAAGGCAGCCTCAGAGAACATGATGCCGGTTACACACTCTTTTGGTCAGGTAAGTCTAGAACCGAAAAACATCTCTCAGATGTCGGCTTCATGATCAAAAACTCTATTGTCCCTAAACTCGAAAATCTGCCGACAGGTCACTCTGACTGCATTATCTCCCTATGCCTTCCACTACACAACAAGCATCACGTTGTCATCTTTAGTATATACGCCCCAACTCTCCAAGCTGACCCTGCTGAAAAAGATAAATTTTACACTGACCTGCGCTGCCTTACCCAAAAGGTGCCCGCAGATGATAAGATCATTATCCTTGGTGATTTCAACGCCAGAGTAGGTAAAAATTTTGAAGCCTGGAAAGGAATATTAGGCAAGCATGGTGTTGGAAACTGCAATGATAATGGTCGACTTCTGCTAGAATTCTGTGCGGAGCAACAGTTTACCATCACTAATACCATCTTTCAGCAGAAAAATAGTCTGAAGACAACCTGGATGCACCCCAGGTCTAAGCATTGGCACCTCATTGATTATGTCTTGGTGCGACGGAGAGATGTCCACGATGTCCTCCATACTTGCGTGATGCCCAGCGCAGAATGTCAAACAGACCATCGGCTTGTGCGCTGTAAACTCAACTTCAATCTCAAATTCAAACCCAAAAAGGGCAGTATCCCAAGGAGAAGACTCCAAGTTAATGATCTCCAATCAGCCACAGTAAGAGAGAGATTCCAGGCAAACCTTCAAACTACACTCGAAAACCATTCCACAGATTCTGCAGATTCCTCTCCTGAAACAATTTGGCAGCATATTAAAAGCAGCATCCTGCAATCCTCTGAAGAATCCTTAGGGTTCTCCCTCAAGAAGAACAAGGACTGGTTTGATGAAAACAATCAAGAAATCCAGGAATTGTTGAGGAAGAAGAGAACTGCCCACCAAGCAAACCTTGCACTGCCATCCTGTCATGCTAGAAAAATAGCCTTTCGTCTTGCATGCAGCAAGCTCCAACAGAAACTCCGTGACATCCAGAACAAGTGGTGGATCGATCTAGCTGCAAAAACTCAACTATGTGCAGATACAGAGGATCACAAAGGATTCTATGAAGTCCTGAAAACAGCATACGGGCCTACATACCAAGTCCAAAGCCCACTACTCAGTGCAGATGGTCAAATGCTTCTAACAGATAAAACCTCCATTCTGAATCGATGGTCTGAACACTTTCAGACTCTTTTCAGTACCAACCGTGTAGTCCAAGACTCAGCAATTCAGTCCATCACACAACAACCGGTGAAATACGAATTGGATACTGCCCCCACTTTAGGAGAAACCCTCAAGGCCATACAGCAGGTGAAAATCGGCAAGGCAGCTGGGGTTGATGGAATTCCACCTGAAGTCTGGAAACATGGGGGCCTTGCACTCCATGCTAAATTTCATGAGCTTGTGGTGCGCTGTTGGGAACTACATGAACTACCATCAGACCTTCGTGATGCAGTCATCATCACCTTGTATAAGAAGAAAGGTACTAAATCAGACTGCTCAAATTACCGTGGTATTACTCTGCTCTCCATTGCTGGCAAAATCCTGGCAGGAATACTCCTAAACAGACTAATACCCGCTATAGCAGAAGAAATTCTACCTGAAAGTCAGTGTGGTTTTAGAGCCAACAGGAGCACCACAGACATGATATTTGTTCTCAGACAACTGCAAGAGAAGTGTAGGGAACAGAACAAAGGTCTCTATGTAACCTTTGTTGATGTCACCAAGGCTTTCAATACTGTGAGCAGAAAAGGTCTATGGCAGATTTTGGAACGTTTAGGTTGTCCCCCCAAGTTCCTTAAAATGATCATCTCACTTCATGGGGATCAGCACGGCCAAGTCAGATATGGTAACACACTTTCTGAGCCCTTTCTAATAAAGAATGGTGTGAAACAAGGCTGCGTTCTCGCTCCTACCCTATTCACAGTCTTCTTCAGCATGATGCTCCAAAGGGCCACAGCAGACCTTGATGATCAGGACGGTATCTACATTTGATATCGTACTGATGGAAACCTATTCAACCTAAGGCGTCTGAAGGCCCACACCAAGTCCTTAAACCATCTTGTCCGGGAGCTGCTTTACGCTGATGATGCCGCCCTCATTGCCCACACAGAAGCAGCCCTGCAGCGTTTAACATCCTGCTTTGCAGATGCTGCTGAGCTCTTTGGGCTGGAAGTCAGCTTAAAGAAGACTGAAGTTCTCCATCAACCTGCACCTCAGGAAGTCCCCCACCATTCCCACATCACCATCGGCCAATCAGAGCTCAAATCAGTCCAGCAGTTTAATTACCTAGGCAGCCTCATCTCCTCGGATGCTAAGATTGACGGGGAGATAGACAACAGGTTAGCAAAGGCATATAGTGCTTTTGGAAAACTCCATAAAAGAGTATGGTGTAATAAACACTTGAAGAAAAGTACCAAGATCAGTGTTTACAGAGCCATAGTGCTGTCTACTCTTTTATGTGGTTCTGAATCATGGGTCATCTACCGCCACCACCTGCGTCTCCTAGAACGCTTCCATTAATGCTGCCTCCGTACAATCCTAAACATCCACTGGTCAGATTATGTGACCAATACATCTGTTCTTGAACAGGCAGCAATCACAAGTATTGAGGCCATGCTACTGAGAACGCAGCTGCGATGGGCAGGGCACGTCTCCAGGATGAAGGACCACCACCTCCCTAAGATCCTGCTTTATGGTGAACTTGCCACTGGCTGCCGCAAGAGAGGAGCTCCGAAGAAAAGATACAAGGACTCCCTGAAGCAACAACTCAGCCTCGGGCATACTGATCACCATAACTGGTCTACTCTGGCCTCCAATCGGGAG